AGAGAGAGAGAGAGAGAGAGAGAGAGAGACTGCACTGGGAAGTAAGATTGGTTGGGATTCCGACCTGGAGCAAGGTTTCTGCCCAAACCCCCTATTAATCCTGGGAGTGTACTGCCTGCTGCCAGCTCGACCCTGGGCCAAAGAGTCAGCAGGTGGAGGGAGTGAGCTGGGCATGCATGTTTGTGGGGTTGACACTTGCCAAAACAGCCCTGCTTACAAAAACCATGCGGGAGAGAGACTGGGGCAGGAGCCTGTGACACGGGCACCTGCCCCAGCCCTGGGGTCTATAGTCAGAGCAGGTCTGATACAGTTTAGGTTATAACTACTCACCAAGCGAGGTGCATTCCAGCCTCTCTCTTTCCTCCTTCTGATCCACGACCCACGGCTCTCCCCCTTGTTCGATCCGGGATAAAACGTCAGGCTTGGTGCCTGCATGGCCTGTTTGTGGGGACGCAGATCAGAGGATGTTATAGTTTGAATTGCCACCATGGGATGCTTGTTACAAAGCCGTGTGAATGCTTTGACACCAGTTCCCTCCCTGTGCTAGTGGCACCGTGTATTATGAATGGATTTAAAGCATAGATATCAAGGTATTCCCCCTTCCACCATCCAGCTGCTCCTTAGAAATGGATGCACCTTTTGCAGTAAGAGCCCAATTACATCCCTCCCCTGCCCTTAAATCACTTTTAAAAATCAAACTTTCTGGTTACAGCCTAGGCCTCCATTGCAAGTCTGAGGCCAGTCCTCTGAACAACGGGCTTGCAAGACGCTGTGGCTGCAGCGAGCTTGGTGTATGTAGCTTGAAACTGTTACACCTTTGTTTTCCTTTACGTTTCTAAGACCTCTGCCTCTCTGCAGGGGAGGCAGCCATTTTGCTATCGGAGTTGCTGCAGCTGGTTAGAGAAGAGAACAGATTGAAGAGAGTCCAGAGCAGAGCAACGAAAACGATCCAAGATTTAAAAAACCTGGCCTCTGAGGAAAGGTTGAAAGAACCGGGCATGTTTAATCTAGAGCAGAGAAGTCTGGGAGGCAGGGGGGCGGGGGAAACTAATAACAGTCTTCAAATATGTTAAGAGTTGTCAGAAAGAGGATGGTGACCAATCGTTCTCCATGTCCCCCGAGGGTAGGACAAGAAGAGCTTAGTTTGCAGCAAGGGAGATTTAGGTTAGCTGGGAGGGAACTTTGCTCTTTCATGGAGACTTTTCTTTTGTTCTTTCTTGTTGCTGTTTTCCTTTAATCTAAAATACACGTCATTTTGGATTGAAACAATACGTTTTGTGTGGACACATGACAGCTGGAAATAGAAACCAGGAACAAAGCTGTTCAGTTTTTTGTAAACCCTCCTTAGGGATTTACCGTAACAGGCCCAGCAATTTAGGAAATGCAGGACTGGAGGTGAGCTCCACCCTTAAAACACATGGGTGAATTTTGCAAAGCTCAGACAGTATAAAAAGAAAATGGACTTTTACCCAGGGAAATCAGATTGTCATAATGTTCCTTCATCACGTCCCGGTACAGCTCCTTCTGCCACTCTGCCAGCATCTCCCACTCCTCCCGGGAGAAATAGATGGCAACGTCCTCAAACGTCACCGGGACCTGGAATTGCAAGCGTTACTCAGCACCTTCTCTGCCGCCACCTCCTGACACCTGCACCCAAAATCAGTGGCCACTTTATATCGTTTTGGCCTAAATTATTTGATCGAAGTAATACACTGAGTCAGTACCAGAGCGGAAACAGCAGGTCGGTGTCCTGGCTCCCAGTCCACTGCTCTAACCACTACACTACAGTAGGTTGTTATTTTGAGAGCTTCGTTCAGCGCGAGCTTGAGGAAGCAACATAGAATGTTTTGCTTTGTGTGATGCAGGTTACTTTGCTAGATGTAATAAATAACCACTATGATGTTTTGCAGGGTTGTCACGTGTCTTTATTAGCTGTGGGCTTTGAACTATGTTGCACCTACAATATGCTCACTGCGCCTCTTCTTCCAAGTGAGGCTGGAGCCCTATCCAGACACAGAGACAGTCCCTGCCCCAGGACAGGTAAAGGGAAATGTTCCAGGATTTGTAGCAGAGAGGGGTTTAGAAGGAGCAGCACTAGGTAGATTAAGGCCAGTGTTGAGCTTTCTAAAAGGAAATGGGGCTGCACAAGCTGCTGTTAATTGAAATGGTTTCATGACATTATTGGTTTGAATTGATACCTAAACTTTGCGGCACTGTGATACCGCATGAGAACCGCCCCGTGAAACTGACGAGCTCAAACGCCAGCTGGAGGGTGGTGTGGGACCATTCTAGTGACAGTCTCCCCCTCTCTGGATGTCAGCGTGGGGAGCAGCCTCGGGCCCTGACACCCAAACAAACAGAAAGTTGGAAGATAACTTGTTACGTGCAAGCGAAGGGCCCCGTGTTACTCCCACTGCTGTCAGTGGAGAGTTTTGTTGTTCAGTAGGAGCCCAGATTCGGATGAAATAAACAAAGAACATTTATTTAAACCCCCCACCCACACACACACCCCCCCAACCAGCATCATTAGAGCAAGGCGCTTTGCAGTGAGAACGTTCAACACTTCAGGCCTTCTCCTCAGCGTACTAGCCCCATGGACAATGGCTGATGGGGGTCTGTCAGGTCCTGACTGCCCCTCTCAGAGGCGCCCACTGTCACTTCCCAGCAGGACGCTCCGACACAGACAGCTCCTTGCCAGGAGATCAGTCAGGCGGCTGCGCTGAGGAAAATGGGATCTGCCCCTTGATAAATGGAGGCAGGGCTAGATGGGCCTCAGTGGGCCACATTCAGACCTGCCTGGTGCAGGGCAACTGACAGTCGAAGTAGCAACTGTTCACACCAGCCCTGAATATGGCCTGTGGTCTCACCACTGCCTGTCTCCTACCTGCAGAGTGGCCCCGGCTGGCATTGCCTCTTCAGCGTCTCCTCCCTGCATGGCAAGCGGATCCTCGCAGCTGCAACAGCCGGAAAATTTCCCCCTGCAGTCTGGGGCCCTGGCGAGTGCTTGCTGCTGTAGCCCTGGGTCTCAGGCGTTGCTTCTGGCCCAGCCCTGCAACTGTAACCTGATAAGGGAAGTAGAGCAAGCCAGGAAGTGATCTTACTCCCAGAAGTCCCCAGGGCAGAGCTGGGATGTTTCAGACACCGGAAAAACCCTTTATTACAATAGTGTCTGTAGCCATGGCAGAGGGGTTGGGTATAGGATAGTGGTTCTCAACCAGGGGGACGCAGAGGTCTTCCTGGGGGTACATCAACTCATCTAGAGATTTGCCTGATTTTACAGCAGGTTACCTAAAAAGCACTAGTGAAGTCAGTACAAACTAAAACTTCATACAGACAGTGACTTGTTTATAGTGCTCTATAGACTATACACTGAAATGTAAGTACAATATTTATATTCCAATTGATTTAGTTTATAATTATATGGTAAAAATGAGGAAGTCAGTTATTTTTCAGTAATAGTGCGGCTGTGACACTTCTGTATTTTTGTGTCTGATTTTGCAAGCAAGTAGTTTTTAAATCAGGTGAAACTTGGGGGTACACAAGACAAAGGAGACTCCTGAAAGGGGGACAGTCGTCTGGAAAGGTTGAGAGCCACTGGGATAGGAATCAGGTCTGCGGGCTGCAGAGCGAAAGGGGCTGGAGTCTGAGAGCTGTGGAGGGAAGCAGGTTCAAAGAGTCACCCCTGGCTACAGCAGCGCAGGGTGGGCCGAAGTTCCAGAGACCTCAGAGGAGGGTGTTGGGGGGAGCTGGGAATTACTCAAGCAGACGCCTATTGCATTAGAGAGACAAGGTGGGGGAGGCAATATCTTTTACTGGGCCATCTTCTGTTGGGGAGAGAGACAAGCTCTGGCCACACTGAGCTCTTCACACATTTTGGGCGAGACAGTGGAAGCCCCTCATGCAGAGGCATGCAGGAAAGCGGGGAGAGGGCGCGTATGTGGCCATCATAAACCATCTCTGCATTCATCCCTGCAACCTAGCCTAGTACACGGCCCCTGGGGCGTACCACCGCTGCATGGGGCAATGGGCATGCTCCCTGGAGCTTTGGGAGAGACTGTGCCCCAACCCTCCCCCCATCCCCTTAAAGAGGTGTGACTCCTGCCCCAAAGCCAGCCCGGAGCTATGGGCATAGCCGGGCCCTTAATGCTGCATTGAGTTATGAACTACCCCACCTGCTTCATTAACGCATTATCTTGTTGGCTGGTGAAAAGGCTTTTCAATGGGGTGTTTGCCCTTGTGTTAAGCAGGCAAAGTAGGGTGACCAGATAGCAAGTGTGAAAAATCAGGATGGGGTGGGGGGTAATAGGAGCCCATATAAAAAAAAGCCCCAAATATCGGGACTGTCCCTATAAAATCAGGACATCTGATCACCCTAAGGCAGAGGTCTCTATGTACCAAACCCCGAACCTTGCTGAACACTGTTTCAGTTCTGCCACTGACTCCCAGTGACCTTGGGCAAGTCACTCGGTCTCTGTGTCTGTAAAATAAGAATCCTTCCTCTGTCTCCCTTGTCTGTTTAGATTGTGAGTAATTGGAGCAAGGACTGTCTCTCATTCTGTGTGTGCAGCAAGATTCTAGCATGATGGGGCTCTGATCTCAGCAGGGGCCTCTGGGCAATACTGTAATCCAGGGGTGGCCAAACCCCAGCTCCCGAACCACATGCGGCTCTTTTACAGTTAAAATGTGGCTACCCTCCCTGCGCCCCGTTTTCAAACTTGCGCCGCTCGTCACCCAAGCGTAGGACCCCGTTAATGAGCATAATCGCTGTAAGTGAGCTCGGCCTCATTGAGCTGAATCCTGCCAAAACCGCATGGCCAAATGCACATTCACACCCCGCACAGTCCAGCCACGGAGCATTTCTGGCTCTTCACAGGCATTTGCATCAAAGTGCTTCTGTTTGCACAGACGTTCAGGGATTGTCCGTTCTCTGTGGGTGAAATTCACTCCACTCATGGAAAGCCCAACTACCCAGGGTCTAAGTAGGTAGGATGAGGGTGGTTAATACTGCTAGCGGCCACCTTTTTGTTGTTTTCTAGCATCCAGCTAGGCTTTTCTTACCTTGTCAAACACCCATCCCTTGATGTGTAATTGATGATGCATATTCAGATTCTGCAAAGCCTCTGTAGTCATTTAAAAGAAGAAAATATCTAGCCCTCATGGGTGCAAACTGGAAAGCTTCCAACTGTGAAGGGAGCGTAACCAATGCAACCCGGTCTTCCTGAGTCTGCAGGCAGCTTGAAACAAAGGACACAGTGGTGTGAGCTCTGCCAGTCCTCCATCAATCTCAATGGCGTGTCAACTCTAAAGCCTAACAATGACACTTCAATGTCAATATTAACTATTTCATTGCTGATCATTTTAGCAGATGGAACAGGGCAGGGGGTGGGAATGAAGCCCATGAGGATGGAATTAGAAGTTACTGTAGGGAAGGAAATGCAGCAGGAACAACAGAGGAGACCCACAAAGACAAAGAAGAAGAAGAGAAACAGAGAAAGGGGAATGGGGAAGGAAGAGAAATAAAGGGCAGGCTATTGGTGGCCTAGAGGAGATTGTATTTTTCCACAGGGCAATGCTGGATGAACCAATAAGGTACTAAGCAGATAAATAATTATGTTAACTAAAAGCTTGGCTACTAAATAATGTCCCTATTTAACTTCTCATCTTTGTGCAAACCTGCCATTGAGCTCAGCAGGGGAGCCAGGGACAGTGACGGGCGTGCAGTCCTAAACTCATACTCTGGCAAGTCGGCCATAATTAAATATGGAATTCATCCATCTCCACGGAATCAGTCTGACCCCCTGCACTACAGATCAACCAACACAACCTTCTAGGTTCTCTACATTTTTTTGTATGGTTAAGAACATAAGAACGGCCGTACTGAGTCAGACCAAAGGTCCATCCAGCCCAGTATCCTGTCTACTGACAGTGGCCAATGCCAGGTGCCCCAGAGGGAGTGAATCTAACAGGCAATGATCAAGTGATCTCTCTCCTGCCATCCATCTCCACCCTCTGACAAACCGAGACTAGGGACACCATTCCTTACCCATCCTGGCTAATAGCCATTAATGGACTTAACCTCCATGAATTTATCTAGTTCTCTTTTAAACCCTGTTATAGTCCTAGCCTTCACAACCTCCTCAGGCAAGGAGTTCCACAGGTTGACTATGCGCTGTGTGAAGAAGAACTTCCTTTTATTTCTTTTAAACCTGCTGCCCATTAATTTCATTTGGTGGCCCCTAATTCTTATATTATGGGAACAAGTAAATAACTTTTCCTTATTCACTTTCTCCACATCACTCATGATTTTATAGACCTCTATCATATCCCCCCTTAGTCTCCTCTTTTCCAAGCTGAAGAGTCCTAGCGTCTTTAATCTCTCCTCATATGGGTCCTGTTCCAAACCCCTAATCATGTTAGTTGCCCTTCTCTGAACCTTTTCTAGTGCCTAGTTGCTTCTATGCTCCTAAAGAAACTCTTTAATGCAGAATTTGTGGGGGCCTTTGAGGTGAAAACCAAACTGGCTACTTGTTTTGATTGATATGAAAATCATGAAATCCAAATCTGCCGCAACTGTGTTGTTTTTATGGGTAAGAAAAAAATACACCCAGAATCCCAGGCCCTCTGCATATATTGCAAGACAGCCCCTCGCAAGGGGTGGCTCGCTGGCACTAGCCTAGGCATGAAATTGAACAGCTGCATGGTGAAAAAACAGGACTTTTGATTTTCAGGCCTCTGCTAGGAGGCCATGGCATGCCCTGATTTTACATGCCGTGCATCCCTGTTGGCTTAAATACCCATGATGGGTGCCGTACAAGAGCCCAGAGAGACAGAGACAAGTTATTGAACTTCCCTGTGCCTCAGTTTCCTCACCTGTAAGGGGTGGGAGGGGAGATAATAAGACTCATCTCAAAGGGATGCTGTGAGCTTTACCTAAAGCCCTTTCAGTGCCTCAAACACTGCAGAAGTGCAAAATATTACCTAGCAGGGAGTAACCGTGTTAGTCTGCATCCACACAAACCACCAGGAGTTCGGTGGCACCTTAAAGACTAACAGATTTATTTGGGCATAAGCGTTCGTGGGTAAAAAAACCCACTTCTTCAGATGCATGGAGTGAAAATATTAGCTGTGTGTGTGTGTGTGTGTGTGATGACTGTTCCAAGTTCCCACTCCCAACGTCCACCAGGGGGCGCCCTCTCCTCGCCCTGGGAGCTGGATGTTCTAGGGAGAGCGCAAGCATCAGGCGTGTGTCTCTTCCTCCCTCATCTCCCCGGCTAACCAATGGGAGCGGGTTTCCTACTCCTGCATCGCCCAGGAGTCAGAGCTGCAGCTGCAACGTGTGTGAGACAGGAAGCCAGAGACACAGGGACTGCAGCTGGAGGCCCAGGGATCTCATCAAACCGGCTGCTGCTGGTGCAGAGAGATTCTGGGGCTGCGGAGAAGGTGGAAGGAAAATGTCTGAAAGGGTTTCTGGCTTGCAGGTAGGAAATGTGTCTTCGGACTCTAGCCTTGGCCTCTTTCCCTTGTGCTTGGCAGGTGATGCTGCAGGCTGGAAACAGCCAACAGGGAGCTGGGACTTCCCTCCTTCGGCCTCTGCACTGTGCATGACAATAATAAAATAATAATAATAAATAATAATTACAAAAATTGGCTGCCCTCCAACTCTAGCTTTGTTAACTGCACCCCTGTTCACGTTTTAAACACCAACCACGGGGAAGCCTGTGCGATTGGTTTCAGCAAGAAAGAGAGACCAGCCTTCGCTAGAACATAAGCCCATTTTTAAACTCAGCAATCTCAGAATGAAATGCTGTCATTTTAAAAACCGACACGATGAATGTCATGAACAGAACGGGGGCGGAGGGATAAGCAAAGCTCTCATTTGATATAATTAACAATGCTTCGGGGTGTGCAAAAATAATTTGCAAATCTGTCATACGGCTCAATCCTGCAGTCCTCACTCAGGCAAAACTCCCAATGACTTCCATGGGTTTCACCTGGGCAAAGAGTGCAAGATCAGCCCCTGAACTGACCAGGTAAAACCCTGGATGCTAAATGGGCATACTCTATCCCCATCAGGGGGGTGCTTTGTTTGGTTCTGCAGCCCTTTCCTCCTCACACATCCCCACCAA